CCTTTAGCTTTATAGTAAACACACACCTATATCCAATAATTCTTTTGCCATCTGGTAAGGGCACAAGCTCCCAAGTAGAGTTCTTTTGCAAGGCCTCCATTTCATCATTCATTGCCTTCTTCCAATTCGGATCCTCCAATGCATCCTGCACATTACTAGGGATAGATATACTAGACAATTGATCAACAACAAAAGCATATGACTCAGACAACCTGTGATAGGATATTTAGCTTTAGCATTGGGCTCAGGTTGATACAGTTCCTTTGGCACACCCTTATTGATCGTATGTGATCTTCTGCGAGTTATGTCACCAGAATCAATAATGGTTTTAGTAGGAATATCAGGAAACACAATGACACTTTCAGTGGGTAGATTATCATTCTGAAAGATATTTTGTTCAATAGGAGTAGGTTAGAAATTACCTCTGTTGGGTTATGGTGATCACGGAGAGATCCCTCAGTTTCTGGTGTTAAGCAAGGTATTTCTGCTGTTACCGGAAAGTCAAAGTGTAAGACTTCATCATTCTCCACACATGTATGTGTTACTTCAGTTCCTCCTCCATTCGAGGTGGCTAATTGGTCTTGCTCTTCATGGTAACTTTACCCCTGAAAAGGAGACCCAAAAACTCTCCCTGAATAATAAGGTTCAAATTCCCGAAAAGAGACATCTAGAGTGATATGTACTTTTTGTTGTTGGGGATCAAAACACCGGTATCCTTTCTGAACATCAGAGTAACCAACAAACCCACACATTTTAGCACATGTATCTAGTTTGTTACACGGTACTTTGAGAATATGGACATAAACAGTGCAGCCAAACACAAGAGGCTCAAGATTGGGAATGTGGGGAACTAAAAGTAGTTATTCAATCTTCTGTTGCGGAGTCACAAAGTTGATGACACTAGAAGGGGTACGATTGATAAGATAAGCAGCTGAACGAATAGCTTTACCCCAGTAAAAATGGGGCATATTCATGCCAAAGAGAGAGGCACGAACAACCTCCATAAGTTGTCTATTCTTCCTTTCAGCCAAACTATTTTGCTGTGGTGTATAAATTTAAGAGGTCTGATGTCTAATCCCTTAGTGATTCAAGAACTGCGCAAAAGATTTATCTATATATTTGGTCCTATTAGTAGACTGTAAAATTCAGATCTGGCATTGAAATTGAGTGGCTACCATTCGGTGAAAAGTTTGGAAGGTTGTAAATACTTCACTTTTCTTCTGTAACAACATGACCCATGTCATTCAAGTACATTCATCTATAAATGTCACAAAGTATCGAGCCTTAGATAGGGAAGGGACACTAGTCGGTCCCCGAACATCCGAGTGAACAACTTCAAAAAGAATTGAACTTTTATTACTACTAGGAGAATATGAAATACGATGGTTTTTTGCTAGTTCACATGTGTTACAATGGAAATCATGAATATTCAAACTAGAAAACAATCTTGGATGTAATTTTTTCAAATAGCCAATAGAGAGATGTCCTAGTCTTTTATGCCAAAGCCAAATTGTTTCCCGAGCCTTATCTTCATTACTGGTATGATTGACCTCTCCCAATTTATTCTTTCTCTTTTCGGTAACATCCAGATAATAAAGTTTGTCTCGCTTAACACCATAGCCAAGTGTCTTTTGGGTGAAAATGTCTTGAAACACACAAAACGATGGCCAAAAGGTGACAGTACAGTTCAAGGTACTAGTAAGTTGTGCTACAGAAAGTAAGTTATATTCAAGGGAAAGGAACACCAAAGCAGAAGTCAAATGAAGATGTTCAGACAGAATAAGAGATCCTTTACCAGTGATAGAAGAGTGATAAACCCTTGATTTACCATGTTTTTATGCTAAATTCTACAAGAATTATATGGTAGATTGCATGGAATCAAGGTGTTATATGACAAAATCATAAAGATTTGAAAATTGAGCTAATGTTTTGATATCTTGCTCATTTTGAAGGTAAATCCACAAGATTTAGTGCTAAGAAGTGATAAAGGAATTATAACAAATATTTGAAGCCCAATCTGCAGGATCTTAAATAAAAACAGAAACAAATCAAGATTTGATCGGGAATTGATAGAGATTCATGGGGAGATTTGATGAAGAATTAAAAGATATGGCTCCAAAGGTTATAAATAGGGAGCTTGGGGTCAATGGAATGAACTAATTCACCAATCCAGAGAATTACATAAAGACTTGAGGGAGAAATCCTGTTAGTGAGCGTTGGAGCACTGAGGAACCAAGTCAACATCATACTAATAGAGGCTTGATGTTCTCTTTTCTTTATTATTGCTTTTCAATTCAGTATGCTAGGCTAGACTTTTATGTAGTTAGGGGTAGATGGAACCCAATTGAATCATATGATTTGAATTAAATTGTCTCTAAATTCTTTTCTTTTTATAATTGAATACACTTATCTGTCTTTAATGCTTTCTATGAGTTTGCTCCTTATAGAATGATTTAGGGGAATTATATGATAATAGGGATGTTGGTGCATGAACCCTGACTTGGTAAATTTATCATAATCCTTGTGATCTAGGGATAGACATAAGGTAATTGTGCAATCTTTAAATTCTTGATCTTAATGCAAGTTTTCTTGGGGGGAAATCGGGGAACTAGAGTTCTTTCAAGATCACATAGATTTAAGGTAACAAGGAATTGAGCCCTAATTAACTTAAAAAGAATTGATTGACATTATATTAAGAACGGATTCTGAACAATTTAATTCATTGCATATAGAGGAGATTAGAGGAAGTCAAAACCTTAACTAATCAATCATCTTTTCAATTGTTTTCTAATTTTGAATTTTAATTTGCATGTTATTCATTGTTTTTAATTTCGCTTCTCTTCATCTCAATCTTTGTTGTCCAACTAAATCATTGTTAGCGAACTAGTGCTTGAAAACCAATCCTCGTGGGAACGATCTCGTACTCAGTACACTTTTATTACTTTTACGACCGGTGCACTTGCCGAAGTCGCAACAAGTTTTTGGCGCCGTTGCCGGGAATTTGATCCTTCAACATTAGAAGTAACTAAAAACTGTTTAGATTGGACATTTTAAATTTCTGCAATTTAAATTCTGCATCAATTAAATTATGCATTAATTTTTTTTTTATAATTTGTTAATTTATTTATTTATTTATTTTATTTTTTATTTTTTATTTTTTATTTTTTATTTTTTTCTGCATTATATTTTTTTGTTTAAATTTTTTGTTTTTTGTTTTCTGCATTTTCTGCATAATCTTTTACTCTTAATTTATACGAGGTACTGTTAACCCACGATCCTTGCAATTTGATCGTGAGATAGAAAAGACAGCAAGAAAACTAAGAAAAAGCGCAAAAGAAAGAAAAGCAAAAGAAGGAAAAGCATCAAGCTCGACGGAACCAAAGGAAGAAACTATGGCTGACAACAACGCGTTTCAGAATCCTCCCAGAACTTTGGGAGATTACATGACTCCAGCCCGAGTTCCGCATACGGCGAGTATTGTTAGACCAATAGTGAATGCTAACAACTTCAAGCTTAAGCTAGCACTGTTACAATTCATTCAAAAAGAGCAGTTTGCTGGAGGAAGCACAGAAGATCCCTACAATCATCTTGATGATTTCCTCCTTTACTGTGATACATTAAAGATGAATGGAGTTTCTCGTGATGCCATCCTGCTCAGACTCTTCCCATGTTCGCTTAAAGAAGACGCAATAGCTTGGCTGCAGTCACTACCTGAAGGAAGCATCACCAGTTGGGACGACCTAGCAAGGAAGTTCTTGGCCAGATTTTTCTCGACTTCAAAGATGGCAAGACTCAAAGCTGAGATCACTGCTTTTGAACAAAAAGAAAGTGAAACCTTGTACGAGGCATGTGAAAGATTTAAAGGACTATTCCGGAAGTGTCCCCAACAAGGCATTGAAGCTTAAGAGAAAGGGAGAATCTTCTTCCAAGGAATGACGTCAAGCACAAGAACATTGGTGAATGCTGCAGCAGAGGGATCATTGAAAACAAAAACTCCAGAGGAAGTGCTAGAATTGTTGGAATCTTTAGCTTCTTAAGAGTTTGACAATACCCCAATCTCACGCAAAAGAGCAGGGATCATGAAGTTTGACGGCTATAATGCAATATTGGCCCAAAATGAACAAATACTACAAATTAGTAAGAAACAACAAGCACAATTAGATGCTCTTACAAAGTAATTTTCTAATTCTCAAGTTTCTTCTATTAATAATTCTCAAATTACTTGTGGTATTTGTGCAGAAACTCACGCGACTGAAGATTGCGATTACATGAGGACACCTGAGAATGCTGAAGTCAACGGAATTTGATACGATCAAAAGAACCAGAATAATCCGGGGAGGAACCAATATAGAAACAACTAAAATCAAGGGTGGAAAAATCAAAATCAACACCCAAGATTAAGTTACAAATCAAATCATCTGCTGAATCCTCCTTTACCAATGCAACAACAGCCCCCACCACAAGGTTACATTTTAGAGTGGAAGAAATCCTTTGCACAGCTGTCCAAAACTACCTCAGACTATATTCAAAATGCAAATGCCTTAAGAGATGAAACAAGAGCTTCTCTTCGGAACCTGGAAACGCAAGTTAGTCATCTGTCAAGACAATTCACTAAAAGAACTCAGGGCACCTTTTCGAGTAACACAGACACTAACCAAAACGAACAATGTAAGTCCATTGTTACCAGAAGTGGAATCGTGATCCAACCTATGGAAAACTCTCCAGTGGAGAAGAAGAAAGAAGTTGAACCTGCAGTTGAAGAGGAGAAGGAGGAAGATGTGGGAGAAGATGAAAAGAGCAGTCCAAAAAAGAAGCTGTTCAAATGAGAGAAAAAGAAAGCTCTGGACAGGCAACCAAAGCTGGTGGATCCGTCTCCTTATGCACGAGTTCCATACCCTCAGAGGTTGAAACAAGAAATCCAGAAACAACAATACACAAAATTTCTGGATATCTTCAAGAAGTTGCAAGTAAACATTCCTTTCGCAGAAGCCCTGGGAAGGATGTCGAACGATGCAAAATTCATGAAAGATCTTCTGTCAAAGAAGCGCAAGTTGAAGGAGTGCGAAACAATGGCCTTAACTGAAGAATGCAGTGCAATCATCCAGAAGAAACTTCCTCCCAAGCTAAAAGATCCGGGTAGCTTCAGCATTCCTATAGCCATAAGAAATATCGAAGTAGGAAAAGCATTATGTGATTTGGGAGCAAGAATAAATTTGATGCCATTTTCCATATGCAAGTCTCTCGAAATCAGAGAGCTAAAACCAACTACAGTTTCTCTCCAATTAGCTGACAGATTGATCAGACGACCTGATGGGGTTATAGAGGATGTTTTAGTAAAAATTGTCAAATTTATTTTTCCTGCAGTTTTTTTAATCCTGAATATGGAGGAAGATGCAGAGATTCCTATACTACTCGGAAGGCCCTTCCTAGCTACTGCAAGAGCAATGATCGATGTGGAGCAAGGGAAGCTGATGTTGAGGATGAATGAAGAGACATTCACCATTGATGTCTTCGAGTCAATGAAGCATCCGTCTGATGGAGGAGACTGTTTCATGGTTGACATAATTCAAGAAGCAGTTGATGACACGATGAAATAGGAGAGTTCCCCGCTTGAGTTAGAGAAAATCAACGAAGAAACTGAACTTGTTGATAAAGAACAAGAACCAGTGGTGGAAGAGCTTGAGAAAAAGAAAGATGACCTCCCTCTTGGAACACTAAAGGTGGAGCTTAAGGAGCCGCCTACAAATTTGAAATATGCTTCCTTTGGTGACAAAAACACTTATCCGGTCATCATCAACGTTGAATTAACAACCATGGAAGAAGACAAGCTTCTCATGGTGTTGAAGAAATACAAAGCGGCCATAGGATGGTCTTTCTCTTATTTCAAAGGTATAAATCCTTCCTTTTGTACTCATAAAATTCTAATTGAAAATAATGTTAAACCTGTTAGGCAGCCACAAAGGAGACTCAATCAAACCATGAAAAAGGTTGTGAGGAAAGAGGTAGTTAAACTGTTAGATGCAGGAATGATCTAACCTATATCCGACAGTGCATGGGTAAGACTAGTACAAACTGTACCCAAGAAAGGTGGAGTCACTGTGGTAAGAAACGAGAACAATGAGCTGATTCCAACAAGGACAGTCACCAGGTGGAGGATGTGTGTTGATTATAGAAGACTAAATGCAGCCACTCGCAAGGACCACTTCCTCATTCCCTTCTTGGACTAGATGTTGGAAAGACTAGCTAGCCATGTATACTACTGCTTCTTAGATAGGTACTCGGGCTACAATCAAATAGCAGTAGCTCCAGAAGATCAAGAGAAGACATCATTCACATGCCCCAACAGAGTCTTCGCTTACTAGAGGATGCCCTTCGGTCTATGCAACGCTCCAACAACTTTTCAAAGAGGAATCCACTAGTTCCTAACTCTCAACGCGATTATTTTTTTTAGATTTAAATTAGTTGCTGGGGACAACAACATTTAAATCTGGGAATGGGAAGCGCGTAGTCCATTAGTGGGTATTGCTAAATGAATCGGGGAAACTGCATGAGTATACACGGAACATTCGGCTAGTACAGGGAACTATCTCAACCTTTTTCTTTTTCTTTAATGCAATTTGAATTTGATTATTTTTTTAGAGTTTTAAAATAATAAAAACCCCAAGCCACTATTTTGTGAAAATTAAGAAAATTTTACTCAGTGCTTTTAAATGGAAAAATTGCAGGAATTTTAATCAGTGATTGATTCAGAGCATGATGATGCACTCACATAAATTTTCATAATGAGCATAAATGTAATGGTTTTCATAATTCATTGAATATTCTCTGTAGTGATGAAAATTTTTTAAGAGAAAGAATAGGGGAATTACTATACATTCATAGCCGTGAGATTTTGAGCCTATACAGAAATTTTTTATTGAGTGTGCATCCCACTGTATGAAAGACTCTAGAACTTGCTTTGTTTCTTGCTTGAATTGGTATGTGATATATTCTATGGATATGATTAAGGCATATTTTTTCTTTAAACTAGATGGCCAAATAGCCAACTATTGCTGACATTCCTTAGTTAAACCCTTTTGAGTCTAGGCCAGATTATTCTTTGAAAACCTATGAAGATGAATAAGCCACTTTCCGTGTAAATCCTCACCTTATTAGAGATTAACTTTCAGATTTGAATTGACGAACAGATGATAATTAATTGATTACATAAATTATGATGTATGGGAGTACAGGGTAAAAGGGAAAAGCTAAGGAAGTAAGGTTGGTTAGAATGAAAAAGAAACAAACACAGAAAAGGAAAATTACTCAGAAAGAGGAAAAAGAAAAGAAGTGAAAAGAAAGAAGAAAACTTGTTCTGAGAAAAGAGAACGACAAACAAGAGAAAAGTTCAAAAGAAAAAGAAGAAGAATGGACCAAAAAGAAGGAGAAAGTTGTTTACAAATTGTTAAACGATTAAATTTATTCCTCTTTGAATCTCGATTTTAATCTTGGAGCTCATTCTCTAATTTTCCCTTCCTTCAACCAGGCCAAGTTATAACCCTAAACAAGACCTCTTGATCTGTGAGATATGTCACAATAACTATGGATAGCGAGAATATAATCAAGCCTATGGTAGTGTTGATTCAGTGGGATACGAGTGAAACACCAACCCTCTAAACAGTTGAGTGTAAGTGAATCGAATTCCTAGTGAGGGAGTGTTTCAGGAAATTTTCCTTATTCTTGACCTTAAGAAATTTTGTTGCAGCTTTTAACTGATGAATTTTGAATCTTGTTGATTGATGTATCATTCCTTAGAATCCGAATGCTCTGTAATCATGTCTCTGATTGAGTCATTCCTGTCAAAATTCCATGCAATTGAAATTTCCCACTCCATATTCCCTTAGTTTTATTCTGATTGATTGTTGAGGACAACAATATTCAAATTTGTGAATGTTTGATAAACCCTTAGTTTACCATGTTTTTATGCTAAATTCTACAAGAATTATATGGTAGATTGCATGGAATCAAGGTGTAATATGATAAAATCATAAAGATTTGAAAATTGAGCTAATTTTTTGATATCTTGCTAATTTTGAAGGTAAATCCACAAGATTTGGTGCTAAAAAGTGATAAAGGAATCATAACAAATATTTGAAGCCCAATATGCAGGATCTTAAACAAAAACAGAAACAAATCAAGATTTGATTGGGAATTGATAGAGATTCATGGGGAGATTTGATGAATAATTAAAAGATATGTCTTCAAAGGTTATAAATAGGGAGCTTGGGGTCAATGGAATGGACTAATTCACCAATCCAGAGAATTACACAAAGATTTGAGGGAGAAATCCTGTTGCAGAGCATTGGAGCACTGAGGAACCAAGTTAACATCACACCAATGAAGGCTTGGGGTTCTCTTTTCTTTATTATTTCTTTTCAATTCAGTATGCTAGGCTAGACTTTTATGTAGTTAGGGGTAGATGGAACCCAATTGAATCATATGCTTTGAATTAAATTGTCTCCGAATTCTTTTCTTTTTATAATTGAATAAATTTATTTGTCTTTAATGCTTTCTATGAGTTTTCTCCTTATAGAATGATTTAGGAGAATTGTATGACAATAGGGATGTTGGTGCATGAACCCTTACTTAGTAAATTTATCATAATCCTTGTGATGTAGGGATAGACATAAGGCAATTGTGCAATCTTTAAATTCTTGATCTTAATGCATGTTTTCTTGGGGAAAAATCGGGGAACTAGAGTTCTTTCAAGATCACATAGATTTAGGGTAACAAGGAATTGAGCCCTAATTAACTTAGAAATAATTGATTGGCATTATATTAAGAACGGATTCTTAACAATTTAATTCATTGCATATAGAGGAGTTTGGGGGAAGTCAAAATCTTAACTACGGTTGTTTTAAATCTTTAATCAATCATCTTTTCAATTGCTTTCTTATTTTGAATTTTAATTTGCATGTTATTAATTATTTTTAATTTCACTTCTCTTCATCTCAATCTTTGTTGTCCAACTAAATCGTTGTTAGCGAACTAGTGCTAAGTCCGAACATTTAAATTTCTGTCAAAGCTGGGTCAAGTTCGCACCTTTAAATTTCTGTCAATCCGGGTTCAAGTCCGCACCTTTAAATTTCTGTCAAGTCGGGTTCAAGTCCGTACCTTTAAATTTCTGTCAAGCCGGGTTCAAGTCCGCACCTTTAAATTTCTGTCTAAGCCGGGTCTACTCTTCTGCACCTTTAAATTTCTGTCCAAGCCGGGTCTACTCTTCTGCACCTTTAATTTTATGCCAAGGCGGGTCTACTCTCCCGCACCTTTAATTTTATGCCAAGGCGGGTCTACTCTCCAGCGCCTTTAATTTTTCTATCAAGGCGGGTCCACTCTCCCGCGCCTTTAAATTTTCTCTCAAGACGGGTCCACTCTCCCGCGCCTTTAAATTTCTGTTAAGACGGTCCATTCTCCCGCACCACTTATTTTTAGCTCAATTCAGGTCCATTTTCCTGAACCATTTATTTTTAAGCTAAATTTGGGTCCCTTGTCCCACAACTGATTATTGAGATTAATTTAGCCGGGACGGCTTGTTAATCTTATAATTTTGGGTTATTTTAACTGTGACAGTTTGATAACTCGAAATTGATAGCTTATCTAGAGCATACTTATTTTTTCCTATTTAAGCTGGGATCTCAATTCCGCATATATTTTACCTTTTAGGCCCCCGCGCCATCACCGTTTACCTATTGAGCTCCTACGCTCGTCATTTCTGTCCTTCACTCATTAAAGCTGGGTCCCATGTCCCATAACTGAGATTAATTTAGCCGTGACGGCTTGTTAATCTTATAATATAATTTTGGGTTATTTTAACTGTGACAGTTTGATAACTTGAAATTGGCAGCTTATCCCGCACATACTTATTTTTTCCTATTTAAGCCGGGATCTCAATTCCGCATATATATACCTTTTAGGCCCCCATGCCATCATTGTTTACCTTTTGAGCTCCTACGCTCGTCATTGCATATATTTATACCTTAATATCCACACTTCATATGTTTCCCGGACAAAAAATGAGAGTTCACGTCTTTACTTATACTTTATACTGATAATATGAAAATTACAGTTCTTCATATTTTCTACTAAAGATAAGTAAAGAGGGGCAGCTGTAACCACTCAATTTTGTCCTCACACGTAAAAAAAAAATGTGAACCTTTTATTTTGGAGTATATTATTATCATTATTATTTATTTTTTATAAGAAAAAAAGAAAAAATGGGAAAAAGAAATGAAGGAAAATAGAGATTAAAAAAGAGTAAAAAGAAATTAAGTAAAAATAGAGAGATATTGATACAAAAAAAGGAGTTCAGATTTTATCATTTAATAATAATAATGATACCTTTCTTAATGGAAAGGAAACGTTGTTGGGCTGTTCTCAAACCCCATACACCCATCATCATTCATGATAACAATTGATCCCATTTGTCAAGCTGCGTTACCTTGGAGAAAACAAAGCAGAAGGCGCTACAGAGCAGAGATAGGGCCATGTAACATGTAAGAGTGACAACAGAAGGGTTGAAAGGGCGGTTTAAAACAAAAAAAAAATATTATTCAGTTGAAGTTCCACCGCCTTCGTCCATATATAAAAAAGAGAGGGAAGACTCTTTTTTTTTATCGGAATAGGGAGGTGAAAAAAGATCAAGAGAATATACCAATCCTATTTTCATCTTCATCACAAAAAGATCCAGGACTAAGCTAATATCCTTAACCATGTCGATCAAATCCATGAGATTCTGCTGAACCTTTTCCATCATTTGTCATTTTCTTATCACTTGTATCTACCCACCATTTGCCAACCACTGTTGACTGAGGCAACCTCCAAGAGTCACATATTTCGATCCAGATGTCTTGTGCCTATCATCCATTTATGTTGTTGATGAAATCTTCTTTTTAATGACTCTGTTGTTAAAATCTCAAAGATAATAGTTGTGGTTAATAGTTTACAAGGAGTACCTGTTCAGTTT